AGCATCTTCCAGTGAACTTAATACATTCTCAAACGTTTCACCGGCATCGTAGTCGGCATCATCAGTGAGCGTTGCCATTCTCCGCACCAAGCTACGAATGCGTCAGAGACAACTGGAGTCAATCCCTCGATCGGAGGCCCGAGTCGGATTAGACGATCGAAAGAGAGGGGTCGGGGTAAATAGCAAGTGTGATGAAGCCACAATTTGTCGAGTGTAATGTAAACAAGTGAGATGTTGTGATAGGTCGGCAGTGGGATTAGAGGGTAAAGGTAGATAGATAGGCCAGGACAGAAAGAGGAGTGATAGTGTAACCGTTTTCAGCAGAACGTTTGTCGAGGGATTGACTTCACTTGTCTCTGACGGGTTCGTAGCTTGGTGCGGAGAATGGCAAAACTCACTGATGATGCCGACTATGATGCCAGCGAAACGTTTGAGAATGTACCAAGTCCACTGTCTGATGCTGGGAATCATGACAACTACTAGGGAAGACGACTTCGGGCTAGGTGCCTTCTACATTGTCGTCCTGACAACAAGACCAAGTTGCAACAACGAGGTCAACCCACTTCTGTAAATATATTGTTGCAATTAGCGTAAAATTTGGTTTCTCGCTCTGGCGAGTTATGTCACGGCCTGCCAAATTAAAACTCGACATGGGTTAATCAAGGTCGGGGAGATTCTCGTCCAATCCAACAGTTTTCACTCGAAGGCAATCCTGTTTCTCGTGAGCCCAATTCACACATTCCTTTCAATTCGATGGAAACTTGGGTTGTCTTACATATTCCAGGACTTTTATGCTCTGCAGTCTCATGTAAGCCATTTGGGCTATCTCAGTGGCCTACTTCCATAGATGCTACCTGAAGTGTGTTTAGCGCAGGTCGCAGACGGTTATGGTGGCCTGGTAGATAGGTTTTCCACTATTCCACTCACTTGGCCTTGCCTCCAAAAACCATTTTCATCCAGGCTGGACCTCAACTTTGGTATCACTTCTAATTAGTGTTTAAGAGTAGTGTCGTAGCTGTTTTCCGTTCCTCCTCAACACTGCTTTACAGGCACTGGGCCTTCGGAGGACCTTTAACCACCGAGTGCGCCGTGGCTTTCGTCGTAAGAACGGCGACTTGAGCCATCGTTTGGGCCTTTCTTCAGCACCCTAGGCCGTCTGGACCAAGTGCCGGATATCTCACGACTTGCCTATTCACCGGTAAGGGGTAATGTGTTTAGAAGTAGTGGCTAATTAGGCATTAGACAGGACTCTCCCGAGTCCCCTTGTGGGTGTGGCATGGCCGAAGGCATCTACTTCTCAGTTGTCCAGGGGGCACGGGCCAGTGCTTTGATGTTTCACGCCTGCTTCGCCCGTCGTCGCCTGAATCAATTCTTCAGGCCCCTTCGGCTGACCCTCCTGCATCCGCATCCCTGCATCTCCGTGGCGTTCGAAGAGGTCGGACGGAATTCGTTTGTCATCGTTCTCACTCCATGCCTGGCTTTGGGGCCGGCCAATCGCCTCTTGTGTCAGCAGCACACCAGTTTTGTTAGTCTATCTAAGGACGTTGACATTGGATTCCGCTTGGCTTTCTCAAAAAATTTTCAATCCGAGAGTGGGTGATCATCTCTTCGGCCCGACCTCCCTCTTCCATCATGTATATACGACGACTATCGCTTCTTGCATAAGCCTTGCATGGCATAATCATCTGCCAAGTCTTTTTCGACTCGATAGAGAAGCACACCTCATCTCGCTCAAATTCTAGATACCAGCCCCATCCTCCTCTATGATTGATCGTTTTGCCAACTTTACCTCCTCCCCATAACTTATTCCACCCACAGTGTAGCCGCAACCTGCCCCTGGCCTCCCGGCCCCTATACTACCCTTGTCATCCTCACTTGTCCAGTCCACAATCGAGCCTAACTTGCAAGCTAGCAACTACTCTCAACCGTAAGCATTGAAGTGCCAACTGTATCGATTGTAAGATCGATCCTCCTGACTGAAAGGCTTATGCACAAATGCATACCTGGTAGTCTAGGCCAGACCTGGACCTATTGCACTAGTCTCGACTTACCAACCGTCGTATGGATCGGCTCACAAGCTCAGTATGCCGTATGCTGTCTGCGGAGAACTCGAAGATACTCTCTCCTCTCTTTCCTTCTTTCTTGCTTGCTTTATTTCTCTCTCTACCCCCCTTTTCGTTTTTTTGGTTGTCTCTGTCCCCTTTATTCTTTGCACACATGCCTTTATACGAATGTGTTCTTTATACTTTGTCTCTCTGTCATGCCTCTATCGGAAATTGGTGAGGAGGGCCCTGAATGCTGTGAGCGAATCAACACTTTGTGCCTATTTCTCAGCAAGAATGAGACAATTCTCGACTGTCTTAGCTTGACCGACTTGCGCGGGCGTGTTTGCAACGCATTGATGGGAACTTCTTTTTTTCCGGTCCACTCTAACCTGGCGCCTTGGATGCACCTTGTTATTTGCATAAGGATCACTTTTTCTTGTTTTATTCCCGGCTTGGCATGTGGTGTTAAATTTACAGGGCCATCTCAAATCGCGCTCACATTTGCATAACTAGTTAATTCTATTCAATCGCTTATAGACGGTACAAGTGCATGACTTGAAATTCTCAGTCTTATCTCGAGCATGAAGCAAATAATTGGCCAAAGAATGTGAATCATTTTTAGTACACAAGCAGGCAACTTAAGCTTGCTTTTCTGGTCTAAGATTAGACTCTCAATCCCGAAATTTTCTAATACGAATCTTGCACTGATTGTGATACTTTGTTAAGTTTCGCCTTCGTTAGAATTAGGCTATTCCTTTATTGCTGTGGCGTGGAGCAAGGCCAATTAAATCTCTTATAATTGGGTATAAATTAAATACAGTTCATTAGACCTATAAATTATTTAATATGCAGTTCCATCTGTTTTTTCTTCAGCAGCTTGCAAATTTTATTCATGTGATTAAACTCAGGTTTCTCGATCAGCCGTAACCTTGCCTTTCATTTAGAGCTAAACTTTGAACAGCCAAAATAGGCCGCGGAATATGGACGTTTTTAAACCGGACTAGGCGACCAAGTTTATAGAAACAGGTCACTGCTGCTTTCAGTCTATTATTAAGGGAGATAAGATAATCGCATATTTTTATGGATCTTAGCGGCCAGAAGATTCTTCATCTTCTTTGTCATTCAGTCTTTTCTTCTCGAAGAGTTTACAACAACTGATATCACTTATTCTATCGAATTTTCATAACAAGCTATTAATTGACCACACTGCTACAATCCAGTGCCTTGGGCTATATAAAGTTCACTAGGTATACTTGTTGGCGTCGTGCCAACTACTGCGCTCTGACAACAGGTTTCGGGTCTTACTTGGATGATAGCCTAGCCTATATACTCGTCATTTAGAGTGACAGTGCCGCAGTCCACTTTTAGCCATAAGCTCTGCTGATCAATCGAGCCATTTCCAGCTCCACTCACTCGTACTTTACTCTGAGAATGATCTCTTCCGCGCTTAATCTGGCACTTTCGCTTATTTATTCTCTACCAAGTCTTGCTTTTGGGCACTCTCTACAGAAGACCAAAGCGCACTTTATGATATCTGTGTGTACGACGCTTTTCTCTAAGTATCCACCTTAAAGGCTGATCATCCACCCGTATATTTGTATCATTACAAAGCTTTGAGTGGGCCGTCTGCTTTCTATTTGTATAGACTTAGTGAAATTACTGTTCTTAGCCCCATCTTGAGCTCTGCTAGAGCAGGTTCACCTTTTGTAACCATAGCGAGGGGGCCCGGACAAACTTTTACCTTCACATTCTCTGACTCTTAGATGAGCGACTCTGCAATCCTTTTTAAGCTCTCATTAATCTACTTTCAGCTTCCTGATGGAGTAATTGTATCCTCTCAAAAATCTGCAAAGGCTCCGGAGTGCGATATCGAAGACTCGTTCATATAACGATTCTCATACTCCTTCACTAAAGACCATGTTTTTGTCCTGAAATTCTGTTATTCTATTCAGATTACTTTTTCCACATATTCGGTCAAGCTAATTATTTCAGAGTAGAAGTAGATTTTCCTTATAAGAATTTATAGTATTCCTTAGACAGGGTACATCTTAATGTTTAAAGACTGCGATCTTACACACCTATTTAGATCTTATCGTGTGTTGCTTTATCAATGACATATCGATCTAATTCGCATACCTAGGTGATATTCTTGGCAAGTTGCGCGACATTTCAGTCAGGTCCAAAATGGCTATCAATGATTTCAATCTACTTAGCCCTTTTTATTGCATTCAGTTATAATTAATACAATATATTACGTAAGTATCTACATATATGCTGCGAGCGGATACTTTAGAGCGTTTTTACTTATGGTCAGGCTATTAATTTAATCAAATTAAGAGAAGAGTGGCTCATTCTTATCTCTTACCAACTCATTACACTCGTCAATAATTAATAAGTAAACTGCAAACCGCAGATAGGTACTATTATGCTATAAAGGCATCATGTAACTATAGCGATATCGAAAGTACCAGCCGATCTAGTTGGAATGAATTAGTCCAATTAGCCTATTAATGATCTAAAGAATCCTCGTTTGAGTTAAAATGTAGGCTTAATTTCCCCCTTGTCATCCACTTCAAAGTGTGCATTTGTCCCTAGTGAACTGCACTCTTAATTGTAGTTCGACCCGACATGTTCGGTCCGTGAGACAAATGCTTTATTTTTGTCATTTTGGCGGAGTCTTAAGTCATGACAGGCGGCTTCTAATCCACATTTATTATGGATACCTGAGACGACAAACTTTTGCCATTCCTTCTGAGCAAATCAAATAACATTAATCGGCTTGTAGTGGGACTTTACTTACAACATTACCTACTCGCTCAAATTCTCAGGATAGTTTCTGACTCCACGCATATTCGAATAAGGCTTTACCTTCATTGCTATTCTTTTCATACTTCAAGACTAGTGTTTTTTGTTGGTATTCGTCTTATCATCCTCATCAATCTTTATCTGCCCATAATCCATTCATCGAATTCTTCTTTTTTGGTATTTAACTCAATTTGACCCATTCATTAGTTAATTCGGAGTTAAGGATTTAATTTTCTTTTAGTTGAACCTTTGATATCTAGTAGTCTCAAATGATTTAGCTTCTCTTTTATCTATCTTTGATTATGGCAGGAGTCTGAACAAGTTCGCTCAGATACGTTTTGACACGTCAAAACGTTGGATCTTATCCCAACCTGGTCTCCTCCTACGTATTTTCTAGACACGTGTTTATGATGGACTTCTCGCCAACCTCGCCCTGCATGTCTTTAGTATAGCCGATTCTGTTTCAACTATTTTGCTAAGTCGGATTGTGAGTCTTTGTTCCAAAATAGATAACATTGACAGACGGAAATTAGTGGTATCCTGACCCACTGGTTTGGTTTAGTTTGAATTACAATGCGACACTGATGTCTGTGGAAAGCTTGCTTTTTGCTGAATAGCCTTCGATCTTCGATCCTTGGTTCATTATCTCTTAATCATCACCCAAGCCTTGGCTCACTTAAGCAAAGCTACTTTCCCATTTTTATTTTTTGTGTTTACTAAACACGATTATATAGTATTAAGCTGTTACAGGACTATTATAAATAGCTTTAATGCGTCTGTAAGATATTAGTCAATGGAAAAGTAAGTGTTTATGTTAAATTCTTATTGGATAGAGAGAAAAAAAGTTTATCTAAGGTCTCAGTTATTGCCTTTCCTACGCCAGCTGGCATTGAATATGTATAAGTTGTCTCGCTGACACTCATCGGCTTAAGTGCCCGAGGTTGGCTTCTAGCATAAATGAAATTATGAGGTTGGTCCAGCCTAGCGCTTGCTTGACAGCATTGACTTTAGTCTTGTCTATGCATGCCTATTGGCTGATAACTTGCTTCCCCTTGGCGTTTTGAAGAGTTTTTGTCCTTTGTGAATTTTACAATACGTCTACTTTTGACTAGCCGGATATCTTAATTTTACTTAGAGCATTAAGTCATATACCTAACATGAGTAATTCCAACCAGGCGTCTTTAAATGAGTCGCGAGTCGAAAAAATAAGTGATTATTTAGCAGAAGAATTTGTATCCTGAATTTATTTCAGTAACTACCCTTTATTTTAGGTGCCTTGTTCCTTAACCTTATGTATTGCTCCTGGTTGTTAATTAAACAAATAAATAACCTTTTAGGAGACCATCTGCCGACAAATTTACGAATCGGAATTTTCTTCCTCATGCTTATCATGCAGAATGATGTACCCAAGTAATTTAGCAGGGAATGGAATCACAATTTTGGTTGCATCCAAAGTGAGCCTAATCTTTAAATTGAAACTACAATATAGTAAAAAACACGTTCTTAGCTTGGCTTCAAGTGATTACTTATTGTCTTATTCGATCTTCCCTAAATAACTTTTATAATTCTTGCATAGTTTTTTAATTGTCTATAATTAACATATTATAAGTGCGCAAACTTTTTTCGAATGCTCCTATTAAGCATCTTACCGTGCTCGCTGGTGAGCTATTTATCTCGGGACGGCTACTTAGTCACAGTTATCTTCACTTGTGCGCGTCCCTATTATTCATTGAGAGTCCCATCACATCTCAACCTATACTTAATAATTCGATGTAAATTATTAGACAGGCCTTGAAATCGCCTAGGTTTAAGGCTTATTTAAGTGGCACATTGTCTTTACCCCATTCGAAATTAGGAATTTTTCTCTCGTTAGATTCAAAATTTGGATCAGACTTTGATTCAAACTACCAAGCTACTAAAATTTTTAATCATAAATCATTAGACAGGATCGGAGTTAGAACAAGGAATTTATAATTGAAAAAAATCCTTTTGCTATTCAATGATGGTG